GGATCATAGGCTTTAAACTTAAATGTCATTATTGGTCTTTAATATTACCCTTTTTATCACTCCTCGTAATTTTTACTATGTTAAATTTCTCTTAATTCAATGACATGTTTCAAATTATATCGATTTCCTTCCAATTCCGTTTCAAACACGTTAGGGACACCTACTTACTCCATCACATAATTAAATGAAATATTTGAACGTGTTCAAGATACTTAACTATGAAGTGAAATTACCAAAATTGAAATCACATGAACCAAAATAAAAAATGAGATAAACTATAAGGACCAAATATATATATATATATATATATATATATACACAATTTTAATAACAAGCATGGTGTGATTATAATATCAAAACGTATCGTCGGACTAATCGAAATCGAATCTCTAGGTTATGGGAAACCAAATATTTTAAAGAAGCTCAAGCTATGTCCGTCATCTTAAAACAACTACAAAAAACATCTAATTCGATATCATTTTGAAAAGGCCAAGCCGAGTGCGTAGTGGGTCGGCGTGATATATAAACCTTTCTTTTTTCATCTTTTTCCCCCATAATTTTTATTTTATTTTTCTTGTGTGTTCCTTCCTGTCGTTGTTTGCCACGTAAAACTAAACCAACTTATATCCCACGTGCCCTAGGAGGTTTTCCATGTGGAAGCGCAAGCGCTAAGCAAGATTTCATTGGCCACGTGACCAATGCGCGCCATTATTTAGTCTCTTTGGGAGGGGTGGGTGGCCGGCCATAAAATGATAGGAAAATGCTATGCTTACCACATTTTTCATACCACATCTCTAATAGAGAGTGGGTCCCATTGTATTGGTGGGCTCCACCTCTATTAGAGAGGTGGTATGAATGTGGTATGAAAAATGTGGTAAGCCTAGCATTACCCAAAAGGATATATCTCAGAATATTCGGAACCAAAATCTATAGAGAAACCTCAAAGATGGAAGACGCATTCCTCATCACCCAATACCTATTATATTCTGCGCTCATTGCTTACTTACACCATAACGATGATGATAGCCGCCCAGCTACGTACACGATACTTGTACATTTGTTTTAACGGTCGGTCTCGATTCTTCCAAGGTCCAACAAACCAAAGCAAGCAAGCAACGTTACCATTTGATGAATGTACAGGTTTCAAATGCATACACGACTCTTTTCTTTTCTTTTTCTCTAATTTTTGTTGATCAAATTAATGATGTTTTAATTTAATTTTAACAAGTAACGTGTGATACCATTTGATGAATAAACGTGAGACACGACTGGTTGGGGCTTGACACAATCCACTTTGTCTATAAATTATAATTATGTTTTTCAACACAAATGCTCAACGTTTTTCAACATCATTATTGATCATGTTGACTTGACTACCCCATGATCTTCGTTCCAACATAAGTGAGTGAGTGAGAGTTTATAGATGTTAATCAAAGACACCAAACTGAAAAGGCACGTGTAGCACGTAAAACTCTAAAGTCGGGTCCTCAATCGATCACTTGAGTGTGAATCGATCTCAGTTTAGCTTTTGCTTTCACAACCAAATCCTGAAATAGTCAATAACCCCATTAATTAGGGTTAGAATTTTTTCACTAGTTAAAGATGTATGATTTATATAAATATCATCCTTAATTTAAGGAAATATATTCCATTCCTTTTGTCAAATTTAAGGAAAATGGTAGCTTACTTTGAAATTGAAACTTGAAAACCATCATAAGGTTACAAGAGATTTGCCCACCAACCAAAAAAAAAAGAAGAGGTTACAATAGAGTTCTTTGCAACTATTTTTCCGAATAAGAAATATTAAAATTAGAATGAAAAGTGTTCATTGTCTAATAGATAGGACATATCTTTTCTTTTTTACACCCCCACGTCGCTACACAGGAGGGACATGGTGACGTAAAAAAGGGGATCCTATTAACTTGTTCCAGCCTAAGATAATAAGCTCATGAGATATAACGTCCATATTAATTGATCCAAATCCAAGCATCTAGAAAGAAAAGAAAAGAAAAAACAGTAACATACATACAACGCAGATGCATTAGCTGGGTTGTCTCCCTTTGTATTTATGATCATCATTTCCCTTTGTCTGTTGTTTCTCCTTTTTATTTTGACCTCTTTAAGTCTGCGTGCTCTAGGCGCTTTGTCTTATAACTTTCTTTTCCGCATCCAAAAAATAAATAAATTACGTACATACAACGCAAATGCATTAGCTAGGTTGGGTCATAGGCTAACCTCCCTTTGTATTTGGGATCATCATTTCCTTTTATCTGTTGTTTCTCCTTTCTATTTTGACCTCTTTAAGTTCCCCTTGTATGTTGTTTCTCCTTTCTATTTTGACCTCTTTAAGTTTGCGTGCTCTAGGCGCTTTGTCTTATAACTCTCTTTTCCACATCCAAAAAATAAATAAATAACATACATACAACGCAAATGCATTAGCTGGGTTGGGTCATAGGCTAACCTCCCTTTGTATTTGGGATCATCGTTTCCTTTTATCTATTGTTTCTCCTTTTTATTTTGACCTCTTTAAGTCTGCGTGTTCTAGACGCTTTGTCTTGTAACTCTCTTTTTCACATTCAAAAATTAAATAAATTACATACATACAACGCAGAACAATACAAACACAAGGTAAGTTTCGTTTGTCAAAATCAAAAATTTCTTCTTGTATGTATTTATGTGTGCGCGCCAATTATTGTATGGAGTTATAAAAGCTAGAACTACCTTTGATTCCTTTAATAAAACCACGCACGTGTGCACTCTCTCGTTCGTTTGGTATCTTATGTAGATAGCTAATAATATTATATAAATATTTAAATACATTATCAAAAACTTTTCCATACTATTTGTTTTTTCTTGGGGTCCAGAAAACGTTTTCCATGCTTAATTCTGATGAGCTGGGAATTAACAGAAGCTTTTTCAGAAACACAACTCAGAGAGTCAGAGAGTCAGAGAGGCAGAGAGGCAGAGCCATAATTCCAAAAGACTAACATGTTAGCTCCTTGACCTTACAAGTTCACGAGGTTAGAACTTGAGGATTGATCTGTCATCTGGTTTTTTTTTTCTTTTTTTGCCACTCTCATATTTCTTCCTGCGGGGTCGTAAGAAAGGTGTGGCTTTGAAAACGTACAAAAAACACTGCAGATTTGCAGAGCTGATTTTATTTTCTTGCATTCAATTCCATTCAAACCCACCAACTCTTTGCGTTTTTACAAATTTAGTACCTTGTTTGTTGTCCAAAAATGAAAATAAAGTTCATAATTATTACTAAATAAATAAATAAAGTAAAGATCGTTGGGTTATTCTCTATCCCCTTCGGGGTAAAGAAAGAGAATGAGGCTTTGTGTATTATTATTATTATTTTTTCTAAAGTCAAGGGTTTTGTGTAGTTTAAGTTTCCTTTTCAATCTTGTTATAATTAATAAATAATAATGCCAAGGGAATTTTTTTTATACTATTTTACATCATATTCAATATCAATTACCAATGCATACAAGATATTTGTTGTTTTTTTCTTCTTGATAAACTACATAATTCTATACTTTTACTGTGACGGGTGAAATATAATACCCTTCCGAAATAAGAAAAGGAGACAACTAAGCAAGAAATAATTTTGTGGGTGTGTTTTATATATATATATATATATAATTTTGGACAGTAAGAAAGAATGCTTGAGTTGCCTTACGAATTTAATAAACGTGAATAGTAAATTATTTATAAATTTCAAGTATATACAAATTTTGTATACATAGGAAAAAATGAAATATAGTATATTTGATCCGATTCGATTCCGACACATTAAAAATAAACAAATTTATGTCCTATTTGTTAATTTAACAAATATCTTATACGATAACCCGATCCGATTTGTTTAATATGTATTGCCACAAAAAGAACAATTGAAAATTTTAATTTTACAAATGGCGTCTTTAATGTTTATCTAAATAAATGAAAATTAGCAAGGAACTTGTAGTTTAAGTGGTTAATTAATAGCATTGACCCTTACACCTCAAGTAATAGGTTTAAATCCCCCTTCCCAATATTGCTTGTATAAAAATTGAAAATAGACTATTTAATTTGAAATGTAGTTCCTTGGTAACAAACCTTTTAATTAACTAAAAGGGTTTAAATGTTTTAAACCTATAAGAGATTTAAATTTTATATATTGTATTAAATTGCATCAAAATATTAGCAGATGATATCAACTGTAATTCATATTTCATTTGTTAAGTGAGGGCTTGTTTGAAAGTTGATTAATCACTTAAAATCACAAAAAAGTGATCATACGAAGAAGCACATAAAGTTGGTTCTCCCCAATAGTGATTTTGGTTTATCTAGAATCACTCTAAACGAACCTTGATGAATGATCGGATTTAGATCATAAACACATTATCAAACTATCATATTCATGAAAAGACAAGGGTTGATAAGTACTAGCATATATTATATAATAGTTTATAATTGGGGAATCATCCTAAAAGAAATCAAAATGAACATAAGTTGTATTCATGCCATTTTTATAAATTTGTGCAAGCATTTGACATATATAAAAATTGTATGAAAAATTCAGATGAGTAAGCACGTATGACACAGTGTGTTAGACTACAAAAAGTTAATAAATACATTACTGTGTCATTGACTTCACGTAATTATTATTAGAATTTAATGCGACAGTCTGCTGTTGGACGTATATATAAAGTCTACTTCCCTAAAAAAAGTGTGTAAAAATACAGCGACGGATTTGGATTCTCCATATCATAAGGTGGTTTTGCATCTAAACTTGAGAGATTTGGGTTGCAAACCAGGGATCCCCTCAATATTTTGATATTAGATAGTAGAAAAGAAAAAAATGAAAAGGAAAAAATGAAAAATGAAAACAAAGAAAAGAAAAAGAAAAACCCTAATACATAAGAATATAAATCTCCGTATATAGAGTGAACTGTGAAAACTAAAAAAAGGAGGGGCAAACATAGGAAGGCCAAAGAGAAGGAGGGAGTGGATAAAAATCCGCTGTTGGAACAGCCCACTGGAAAGCCAAACATGGCCCCTGGTTTTCACTCCCTCATACCAAAACCAACTGTCTTTCTCTTTCAGCTAACCCTAGGACCATTTGTTCCCTTTTATACCCATTCCATCCTCACCCACCTTCTCCTTCTTCAACAGAGCTGCCAAATTTCACATCTCTGTCCTCCTTTTACCACTCATCCAGTACACACTATCCGTTCTCAAAACCGTACCTTTTGTTATCACTCTCCATTCTCTCTCCTCCTCTGTTTTCTCTGCTCTGTTTTTCTCGTTTTCAGACTGTTTCTTAGTTCTTTCCTCAATTGGGTATGCACCCAGATCGAAATTTTGCATTTTCTTGAGTTTTTGAAAATACCCAGATCGAAAAATTTATATCTTTCGGGGTTTTGATTGAAGCTGGAATTTTGAGTGTGAATGGGGATAGAGACAACAACGCCCAATCGCAAAGGTAACAAGGAGATTTACGGATTGCCGGTGGAGACGAATTCGCATAACAAAACCAAGAAGTGCCGGCGACGTCATCGGAAGATGTCGCCGGTTCAGAGGCTATACCAGACGTGCAAGGATGTCTTTTCCTTTTGTGGTGCCGGGATTGTTCCCTCCCCTGAAGATATCCAAAGGCTACGCTCTGTTTTGGGTATGCTTATGTCTGCTTTTGCATCATTGGCTGATTTGAAATTTAGTCTGATCAATGTGTTATTCATGTGGGATGTGTCTCAGAATTTTGATAATTGCATTGACTTGAGGCTCAATGTTGGTTTTATGTGATAATTCACCGTTTGAGAATCGCTGAATTTTTTTGTTTAACCGTTGTTGTTCTGTTGCTTTTAGATTGCATTAAGCTGTATTTGCTCTGTCAAAGATACCAAATTTTCGTGTCTAATAGTGTCATTTGTGATAGGCGTGGGTTGTCACTATTTCTCATGTTCGTACTAATCTTGTGTGTGGAATTTGAATTATCTTGAAGGCTGTCTGTCTGTTATCTGCCAGTGGTTTTGTTTTTTTTTTAATCATATTATCTGTCGTTGCATATTGGTACATGCATTTCAGTTTTGCGGCTGCATACATGCACATTGGTGTATGTATATATTCATCCTCGGGGTTGGGGCCTAACTTTGCTGTATAAAAAAATGTTTTGTGGCAGTACCAGTACATGTTTCATATCTTTACAGCTGGACTCTTTTTATTTTTATTTTTTATACTTATACTCGAGTGTTGTTTGCATTTAACCTGATCAATTTAGGTTTTTGAAAGGATCGCGATCCCAATTTTTTTATTTTCTTTGAAAAGAATGTACTATCTACCCAATGTGGCTTATGGGCGTGGCTTGTTTTGATGCAGATACCATGAAACCTGCCGATGTCGGCCTCACTCCTGAATTGCCGTACTTCCGGATGACAGTAGCTAGACGAACCCCAGCAATAACATACCTGCACCTGCACGAGTGTGAAAAATTTTCAGTAAGTAAGCTTCTTTGAGGTACTTAATGCAATGTATGATGCAAATTCAGTCCACCATCGATTATGTTCTTATATTGCATTACCTATATGCAGATGGGGATATTTTGCTTGCCACCTTCAGGTGTCCTTCCCCTTCATAATCACCCTGGAATGACGGTTTTCAGTAAACTTCTCTTTGGGACCATGCATATCAAGTCATATGATTGGGTGGCTGATGCACCAGAGGACAAATCCACAAGTGCGAATCCTTCACCAGGTAATTTCTTTCTTTAAACGTTGTACTATTCTACCTTGTAGATAGAAATTACAGACTGAATTATAGATATGCTTACCAGCAGTCATTAAAGCATTATGCTTAGATTATGCGTTTCTGTTTGGTGTTGATTGGTATTTTCTGCAAAATGAGCCTTAAACAAAGACTAAAGACATAATGCGGTGCGACCTTTCTTGCGCAGTGTAAATCAAAGCAGCAGGTACATTTTATGGACCAGATTAGCATCTTCCTTGAGAAAGTCTTATGGGATGATTATTATTTTTGAACTGTCAGAAATTTTAAATTTCCTTGATAATAACTTCTCAAAATGAGAAATAAAAGTGGCTAAATCTATATAAAACTTTGACATTAACGCAATGCTGATTTGCCTTCACGAAAAAGTCAACCTACCTATCTTTGACCTATTATCTGTTAGGTAGAGTGTAATTGCTTATGGGATCTCTATATTAGACTATTAGCTCATGCTTATGACTTTTGAATGCTTCAAATTTTCCTGTAAAACCAAGTGATAAGGACCATCAGTTTTAATAGCGACTTTAAGAATGCTGTGCTAGGAATCATATTCGGTCACTTGGGAAGATATTTCAAGTCAGTTTTCATTTGAGTGTTATCTTTACAGTACTGTTATTCTTCTTTAGAAAGCTTCCCCTCTGTATTGCCACAATAAGTTAACAGTTTGAAGTGCTTTCATTTATGCAGCTACCCCTCCTGGTGTTCGTTTGGCCAAAGTTAAGGTTGATGCCGATTTTACTGCTCCTTGCGACACTTCCATCCTATATCCAGCTGATGGAGGGAACATGCACTGCTTCACAGCAGTGACAGCATGCGCGGTGCTTGATGTGCTCGGTCCCCCATATTCTGATCCCGATGGTCGACACTGCCAATACTACCTTGATTTCCCATTTTCTCATTTCTCAGGTACAAACTTCACTTAGATTTTTCTTTCTAACTGGGAATGAGAGCCGATCGATCCTTTTGTAAGTTTGAGAATCTTGATTGTGGGGTTTTCTGTTTTGGAATTTCAGTTGATGGAGTATCAGTGGCTGAAGAAGAGAAGGAAGGTTATGCTTGGCTTCAAGAGATAGAGAAACCGGAGGACTTAGCCGTAGATGGAGCCATGTACAGAGGCCCCAAAATAGTGGAGAATTGATCTGATTTCACCATTCCATTTTCACTTGTCTATTGTCTACATCGCCATGCCATCTCCATCTCCATCGCCATTCCATTTCATCCATCCGCGTCACCATTCCGTTGCTTCCGTCGATGTTGTCAGTGGCTGCTTAATTGAGGGCAGCAGCAGTACTTTTGTCCTGTTTTCTTTTTTGCTCTGTATGTCGTTTTTCTCTTTTGTCTTCTTGTTCGTGGGACATGAGGCACTTGGTGGGTTTTTTTTTTCAACAGTTGATGTACATAACTAAAAAAGAAAAAGCAACAACGAATAGAAATGTTCTAAGTGCACTGGAAATGAGGATGAAAGTGCGCACTGATGAGACAACTAATTGTCGTTTTGGTTGCACCCTCTGTTTCATACTTGGCTTGGCTTTAACCCTCCTCCGCTGCATCTATCTAGTTTCTGATGATATCATTTCTCATTCTTTAATTGTTTTTAAAATAAAATATAATAGAAAAGAGAGAGTTTGGTCTTGGTGGGATACCCCATGTTTTATTTTAGGAAAATGCTAGGGAGATTAATTTGGGATACCAACTTGTGTACCAACTCTCTAATAGAGAGTGAGACCCATTGTATTGGTGGGCTCCACCTCTATTAGAGAGTTGGTACACAAGTTGGTATCCCAAGTTAGTCTCTCTAGCATTGGTATTCCAAGTTAATCTCCCTAGCATGACCCTCTCTTTATTTTATGGTGAGAGGAAAATGAGTGCGTGTTTTGTCAGTCATGCGGCCTAGTTATCGTTAGCTTATTATAGAGAGAGAGAGAGCAGAGGGAGGTGTACAGTGTAGTTTGCTATACACAACATGACGTAGGTCTGGATCGTTAAACCTCAAAAGAAGTAGTAGTTGTTGTTGTTTTGTGGAGGCAATGCATGCATCATGCATATGTCGAAAGAAGAGATGGTGATCTCATGATGCCTGTGTGGTTGCTTTGTCGTATTTTGATCTTTGGAGATTGAGTCTGGGATAATATATATAGACATACATACATACATATAGGTATAGCACATGGGTGTGTGGGGGAGGAATGTCTGTCTGCAACTTTTTGAGACAAGACAAGTTGAAGGAAAGAAGCACGCGGGTGCCTTGCCTTTGCCTTAGTTGGAGAAAGAAACAAGAAGAAGTTTCCATTGAATTGTTTTCACATAGGAAGGAAGCTGTCACGTATTGATATATATATATATATATATCCTATCCTTTGCATAATGCATAATAGAAATATAACATAAGGACGGACTCCGACCCTCGTACGTACGTATATCTTTATGTGTATGCAACCTTGTTTGAACAGAATAACCGACAGAACATAATTAAAAAGTAGAGTAAACTCCTTCATATAACCTAACAATAATGCTAAGCCATCGCAGTCAAAACCCTAGCTACATTTTATATATACGTAACATGCATGATGCATGCCCTCACCTCTCCCTCTTTGTCATGGCTTTTCCTTTCTTATTTCCTTTTCTGCTTCCATTATATATATAATATATATGTATGCATGTAGACTAGTTTGTTTTGTTTTTGAACGACAATACTTTGTTCTGGTCATGGATTCTGTGGTCGGTCTGCCCAAGATTAGGCATGCATGGCCTTCTACACTACATAGCTAGCGTCTGCAGCAATGACACCTGAGACTCAGAGGATTGGACGGACGATGTGCTCAGCTATTTGGGACCAAGTCCAAGGAGGGGAAGGAAGAAGCTTAGGAAGATTGCTTAACTGACTGATAAAACTAGAGTTTACGAGAAAGACACTTTGAAAACTCCCCGTGTGTGTGTCCATGGCCCAACCAAAGGGAGGGATCACATATTGTCAACCCCATTATTATGCCTTTGAGTCCACAAGAAGATTTGCCACCTGTGACATTTCTCTTCTTTTATGAGGTGCAAAATCTTATCGTAGGCCCAGAAAAATATTGACGGGCTGAGACCAGAACTACTACAGTCCAGAAATAAAAATCTACCTACTTATATCATTATTTTAATAAATTCCTTGTTTAATAAAATAGAGTGCTGCTAAACGAATATTAAAATTAACTGAGTACACCTTATTATCAAACTATTTATTGAATTACTAATTTATCCTATTATAAAATGACCAAAAAGAATTTATTAAATTGTGAAACAAGGAATTGATCAAAACGCCATGAAATTGATTGATAAAAAGAGTTTGGTATAAAAAAAAAATTTATAAAAAAATGACAAACACACACACACTAACAACAAGAAGTTACGGGCTCTCTCTCTTTTTTTTGAGGGGTGGATCTTTTATATGCCAATAGTTTGTCAAAGTGGATGGTTCTGTGAAATGCATTTTCTATTGGGAATTGGATTTATGCTTCAATACAATTCAACGTATTTACATGCGGTTCCAAGGCATTAGGTGAAGCTAGTTTGGGCTAAATATGAGTGTTACTTTTGCATTTTAATAATGGGTTTTTGCTTAAGTGTAGACTGTGTGGTTAAAGGGGTATGAGATGTGTTTGAGTGCTTTCGGTGGGAGATGTATTTTTTAGAGTGTGTTAGGGTGTATTATAGGTATTTTTGGTAGTTAAATAGGGTTTTCTTAGTTAATTTTACATTTTGATTTAAATATTTGAGTGTACTTAGATCATAGGGTGTATTCCGTTAATTTTAGGGTTTGTTTAGCAGCATTCATAAAATATCATTAGCACTAAAAAACACCATGAAATTGATTGATCAAAATTCAATGGCTATAGCCAATGAAGGGTTCAGTTGGTAAGGTCTTTGCACTGTGTGTAGTCCCATCAGTGTTTGAGTCTCGCTGTCAGTAGTCCTCGTTGGTTTGCGATATGTAATTTCCTACATAAATCCATATTGGTGGCAGCTGGCAATTGGGTGCCATGTGTAAGTCATTCCGACTCGAGATTGTGGGTCTACTTTGACGCTGGTGGTGAGAGTAGCCAATCTACCCCTAAACCTTTTATAAAAAATAAATAAATATAAAAAATAAAAAATAAATGGCTATAGCTAGTGAGTTCAGAGCATTGACCTAGTTGAATATAATAAGCACCACTTGGCCTTTAAGTCTCTTCCTACAGCGACTCGTTAGACTAAAAAATCTCATGTATTGTTGACAATGACAACGCAATGCAAACTGATTCATGTGGTGTGGACCGCAATCTCTCTCTCTCTCTCTCTCTCTTCAGTTTATAATATTATTCTGTAACCATCACCGAAATATAAGAGAGTCAATTCTTGTATGCATAATGCAAGTACCAGTAAACTTTCATGTTTACCTACGTGCAAGACTAAGATATGATGATTAATTAACTTTAATTAAGAGACCCTGTTGACGCTTCCATTTCTACTACTACTTCTTTCATGGCCGAGGGGCTGGCTTGCCGTTAAAAATGTATTATTACCATTGACCGGACCCATTAAAAGTTTTTAACTAGCTAGTAGGAGCTAGCCACAACGAACAAACTCATGATGATAAACTTGTTCAAAGACTTATTAATCCACGACATACCTAAACACTTTGAAAAGCCGCCTCCAGTCCATTCATTATATTGTTGATCATCATCTCCCTCTCATCAAAACTACTCATTAATTAATTTTTTATGGGGTTAATGGCTCCTTAATTACGTTATACCAAAGTTCACGACATCATGCCTTTAAATAATTATATAGTATCTCTAATAACTTTATTACCTTCACAAAATTTGCATTAAAATATATGGGTTCAGTCATCACCAGGTACTAAATATATAACTCTTAATTAATTTTAGGAGGTGCAAGAGTCACAAATAAGGACATACGGCCCTTTATTTTGTAGGGGGATTTGTTTACTTTTTGGATGAGGAAGATAATGATAATGAATTAAAATTAAGCACCCCTTGAAAAGATATGTAAAAATCGATTTTGTATATGTATGTGTTAAATTTCAGAGAGACGGGTAAGCAACACACTACTAGCAACACCGATATCGTCCCAAACTTAATCACTTACAAAGTCCAATATGTGTGGAGTTTTATCATAAAAGACCTCGGTGATATTAGAAGTGGTATCATTCATTATATATTGTATTTCATTTAGTCAAATTTTGGATCATGCACTTTGATTTGTTCTCATCTCAGAATCCTCTCATGCAATTTGAGCTATAGCAATTTTTCGCCTTCGCATAAATTATGAATTATATCTGCAGGATTCAATATTCACGATCTGCTAGTGGGAACAAGATTTGTTTTTTTTTTTTTTTCCCTTTCTAAAAACTATGATCTTAGGTAACCAAGATGGTTACTGTACATTAATTAAAATACAAAGCCTCAAAGTCGTGTGTGTCCAAGACTATTTGTTTTCAGATATGTTTAACTATTTCCTTATTTAAGAATCATAATTATATATCATGCTGACCATGATCCTTTTAATTTATAATACAACAGTTGAACAGTCATATCTTAAAGTTTCAAAAGATCAATATTTTTTTTTCGGGGTTACAGTTTCCAAAAAATCACATGCATATATAATAACATGTCTATCTTTAATGGATGAGATTTGTATGCGTAGATCCAAACCAATTATTACCAGTCCTGGTACTCAGATTCCGAGATAAGTAATTAAAAAATTTTGAATGAAAAGGAGTAAGCGTTGCTGACGTTGCGTGGCGGATTGGTATTGTAGGTTTAAGTAAGCATGCTTTTGATTGTTGAATCAGGGATTTTAATCACTTTGTGTGTTGTGCGTGATTCCCTCTAGATCAATTCAACTTGTTGTTGCGTTTGGTCATTTAGAGAAGATTATCCATATTTGACACTATAGAAGCTTTTATTTATGTTTCTCTTATCAATAAAATACTATCGTCCTCTATTAAAAAAAAAAAAAAAAATTTGGCGAAAAAGAGTTAAAAAGCTATAAACTAATTTTTTTCGTTTTGAATCAATGATATAAACTAAGTGCCCGTTTGTCATTGCTTATTTGGGGTGATAAGTGATTTTTTAAAAATTTTGGAAAGCCCAGCCCGTTTGGTAAACTATGAGAAAATCACTTATTGTTAAAAATTGCGGTGAGAGAAAGCTATAAGGGAAAGCAGCTAATAAGGTGCTTTCATTTTTTGATTATGCAGGAATTAGTTTTGAAGAGGTGCTGGGTTTAATGATTATGCTACAATTTTTTTTCTAATTATGCGGGAATCAGTACCAACAACACTTTTAACAAAAAGTTTACCAAACGCCAAACTGCTTTCTCTCACAGTTGATTTCTCTCACAGCAAATCTGACAGCGAAATATAATATTTTTCTGATCAAAATGAATATATCTACAAATGGATGTGCTACGAAGTTGAAAAATCTGATGGAAGATCATGCACGGTATGCTATTTGTATGGACCAACTATAACAACTGCATCTTACATAGAGCCTT